CTCTGAGAAGCAGTGGAGCTTGCTGGAAGGTGGGGCTGGGTGGTGTTGACCCTGGGCTTCGTGGCAGTGTAGATAGGTGACCTGGTCCAGGTACTAACCATCTGTTAGTACTAACCACCTGGCTGGACTCAAGAGAAAGGCCATTGGCAGCCTCACATGGGGATCTTTTGAGAAGCGCTGTTAAAAGCAGTAGGGAAATGGATGGTTAGGGAAGTGAGATGAAGCGTTTTATGGTGTCTAAGTGTGCAGAAATAATAGCCTGCTTGTGTGCAGACAGGAAGGATCTACTAGAGGGGAAACAGTGATGTGGAAGGCCAAGCGACCGTTGCTGGAGGGTGTTACCAGGTGCCCTGTGCCGGGTGGATGTGAGCCCCGGGCAGGGCAGGTTGTCTGCCTGCAGGGAGCCAGGCTCTAAGCTACCTTGCCAGGTGCACAGGCAGGATCGTGGGCGTGCATGGCAATCCCTTTGCCCAGAGCTGCCCATTTCTCCAGGGTCTAGTTACCAGGAGGGCCACCAGCTAAGAATGAGGTGAAGACTGGAGAGAAGGGCCTGGGAGGTGGAGAGGGAACCGACTGTGATTCCTGGGGCCCTCTTGAGGCCCACAGATTATTAAAGAGAGCCTGGCCAGCAAGGTAATGTGTTTCTCATCTGTTCAGACACCAGCGCAGGCGTGAGAAGTCTGTGGACTGAGACAGGGGCAAGGGAAGGAGGCTGCAAAGGAAGGATCAGAGACCATGGCATCTTTGCTGGGTACAGAGAGAAGTGAGGTCACCAGGGGAGTGAAGCATGGTCACGGGGCACAGCGGAAGCCATAGAGGACATATTGGGATGCTACCCAGACAGCAAGTGGTGACCCACAGAAGATGATTGGAATACCTTGTGGATGTATAGCAGTTACTGGAGCCAGCCAGGTCCTGGGAATCCCATTGGAGCATGTGGCTGAAGGGTGGAGGTGTGTCCCTCAGGAGAGAGGTCTGAGAATTGAGACGGAGGGGCAGGAAGATGGTCTGTGTGGTACTGAAGTCACCCAGGTTATGGCAGGAGTGATGGTGAGCCAGGAGTTGGAGTGACCAAGGATCAAATGGGTGACAAGGGCGTGCACTGGGGCTATTAGCACTTAGTCAGGGACAAACCAGCCATCGTGCTGCGGGATTCACGTGCCCTAGGTTGGAGGAGGCTGCTTGCAGGGTCTTCCTGTTGCCCTTTATGCAGGAATCTGACATGCTCATTTTCATCCCCACACTGCGGAGGGGCCTGGGCCACCTGTCAAGAGCAGCAGGAGTGAACAGGTGCACAGGATGGGAGCCCAGGCCAAACGTGGGAGCAGAGGGCGGCACAGGGACAGAAGGTGTGGCCCCTCCTGAGGTGGCCTCTGAGAGCCAGCTGTGAGGCTCCTTCCTAGTCCCTCACCTCTGTACTGGGAGGCTGAGGCAGGATCACCACAAGTTCAAGCCTACTTGGCAACTTAGTGAGACCTTATCTCAAAACAAAAGAGAGGATGCGCTGGGGATGCAGCTCAGTGTGAAAGACCTGGGTTTATTCCCAGGACTGCCAAAAAAAAAAAAAAAAAAAAGAAAGAAAGACACAAAAAAAGAAAGAAAGAAAGAAAGAAAGAAAGAAAGAAAGAAAGAAAGAAAGAAAGAAAGAAAGAAAGAAAGAGAATTGAATAGTTGGTTCTTCGAAAGATTAAATGAAATTGGCAAACACTTACCTAAAAAAAAAAAAAAAAGAAAGAAAGACACAAAAAACAGCGAATACAAAAGAGCGCCTGATCTCCCATTTCTCATCTGTGACACTTAAGTTTTTCCCAGGTTGGCCACATAGGAGATGTTTGTGGGATGAATGTGACAGCGACAGTAAAAAGAGAAGCAAAGTTTCATGTCCTACCACCTTAGGCCTTGTTTTAACCAGGGGCTCAATTCCCTCTTTGTAAAGCCTTTGACAGGAATTGCCATTATGATGCTGAGAGCCAAGGCTTCCTGAGTCTTTAAGGGGCAGTTGACTCACTTGTTCATCCAGTGCGCCCTTGCTGCTTGCCTGCTGTGTGCTGGTCAGGGTAAGAGCATTTCCGTGGTGTTGGTCAGGAGCTAGCACCGCGGGAACTCTTGGCAAGTCCCTCCTTGTGTTTTCTCTCTCCTTTTGGGCCGACTCCAGCTGCTGTCCCCCAGAGACTGGCTGTCCCTGGAGTCCTGGCCAGGCCAGGCCGGCCAACAAGAATGTATTTCTGGGCTGGAGAGATGGCTCAGTGGTCTAAAGCACCTACTTGAAACAAGCTTGGCAAAGCACAGGGACTGCGGCTCAAGCCCCTAGCACCACATGCCAGCCAGCCCGCCCCCTGGTGGGCTGAGCTGGCCACACACACACACAATAAATAAATGTAATAAATAAAAATAAATAAATATTAAAAAAAAAAGAATGTATTTCTGCAAAGCAAAGCTACTGTGCCTGGTGCACCCAAGCAGGCAGAGCCCTGCACACAGCAGGTGATTGGTGATGCCACCCAGGGGTGCTGCCTGGACCATCTCTCGGAAGCCGTCAGCCATCTTTCCTCAAGCCCAGCACCCTTCAGATTTGAGCAGCATGGTTGGATGGCTGGTTCTCTGTGTAGCAGCCAGCTTCACAGCTCCATGCTCTTTCAAGCTCAGGGATCCCCTGTAACAGACAGCCAGAGGCTTTGGTCATCTGATCTAAGATAGGAAACTTGGGGACAGTGTGTTCTGCAGCAGCCTGTATCCACACACATATACCAGACAGCGCTGGGTCCACTGGCTCTGATGAGAGGTGGTGGTGGGGGGGTCACTCTCAAGGCCAGGCCAGGCCAGGGTGCCCTGGAGGCTCTCCGCAAGGGTCCTATTGGCTGTACTCCAGGAGAGAAAGGTAATGAGGAGCAACCTCCACTTACCATCGTATAAATCCCACAATCAGGAAAATTGCTTCAATTGCTAAAAAATGCTGGTGGGAAAGTCCATTTATTTTTCATTTTTCTCGTGCACTTGCCACCCTCCTGCATGAATCACTGTCGGTCTGCAGATTAAATTTATACCCCCGTTATCTTTCATGTCTCTGGTGCTCCGGTGTCAACTGGGCTTCTGGCTACTGAAAACTCTTCCTGCTTTTTAGAGGTGACAGTGATGTGGCCTTCTGGACAGAGAGACCCCTGGGGTCTCTGCTGTGCTCCGGGGTCTCCCTTCAGCTTTTTCCTCAGGTCTCTGCTCCATGGCGTGGGCCACCAAGGTGGGAGTTTGCCTTTGGGAAAGCCCTGATCTTCTGGTCCCGGATTCTTCGGGAAAGGATTTGGACACAGTGTTTGGATTTAGGTGATTTCTTGGGAGAGCTTGAGTGTGCTGGGAGCTTTGTTTTACTTTAAGGTCAGCTTTGTGGGTTGGCTGGGGCAGGGAGTAAGGACTGCAGGCCTTTGAACTAGGTGCTCCCTAGTAACACAGACGCACACTTCATCTCTGTTCCCCAAACACATACACATTCTCGGAGAACAGAGCAGAGTGCTTGCCCACCTCTCCTTTGCTGTTGGTGATGTGATGGTTGGATGGCGTGGCAGGAGCCTGGTTCTTACCTTTGTTCTGGGAGGGTGGAACAGGTCAGAGCTGACATCCACTCTGCTTCCCACTCTCAGGTTGAGCCATTTCTGTACCTCTCCTCTGACACTATGTTTTCATTATTTAACAAATACTTTTCTGGCTCCTGAATCTCTTTGAAAATCATAGGAAAGCCCAGGCCTCCAAGCCCAGGATTCCAAACAATTGTGGTGGTGGGGGGGCCAGGAGGGTGGAGGTCATAAAGCCCATCCTGAATTTCAGGCCTTGAAACCCCCAACTCCATCTCTGGCTCCGAGAGGCTGGGATCAGGGCCTCTGCCTCCAGACTAAAAGACTTCCAGGAATTCAGAAGCCTGGGGCCCTCTCAAGCCCAGTCTTAGCCCCTCATGCCCTGATACCCTTCTTATACCAGTCTCAGAAGAGCTACCCCCAACCACACCCCTGGCTCTTGGAGAGAACCCCCATTTCTGTCCAGAGCATCATGTTGCTGGGGTGGAGGTGCTTCTGAAGATGTAGTCGGCCGTGCCTGTTGCAGGCCCCTGCAGCCCCTCAGCAGGTATCATTACTGCATAAGAGACCCATCATTCTGCATTAATCTGGGATTCATCATGATAGCCATGACCATAATTAATTTATTTGGTATTAATGTGGATGAAATATGTACTGTCCTTTCAGGGGAAATCAGGCTGCCTATAAGCATTAGTTAAAAGGACCATTAAAATCAAACCTTCCCCAGATCCATTAGGCGAAGTCTTTCATCCTGAAGAAGATAAAGTTCTGCTGTGTGAAGTGTCATGAATAATTAGGTTGATTGCTGTTTTAAACTCTGCCCCTGCTTCCCTGGCCCCTCCTGCCTCCTTCCTGAGTGGGGAAGGCTCACCTGTGGCAGGCCTCCTCTCCACTGCCCATGTCTTTGCTGGACCCCAGATGTCCGCCTTGCCCTGTGAAGGTTAGCATGGCTCCGTGTATGGCTTCAAGGACCCCACCAACAGTTCCCTCAGTCAGTCTGTCTGCTGCTCCTTCCCCTGCCCTGGCACAGGGTAGCAGTATGTGGCTTCCTCTTGCCTTGGTGCCTCTCCAGAATGGGGCAGAGCAGGAAGTCTGCAGCAGCATTTTCCAAACTGAGATCTGCACACTCTTTGCCCTGGAGAGTCTCTGGCATTTGACAGTGTGGCTTCCTGGGACCAGGGCATCCAGGGCTGTACACAGGAGGGTGCGGGCTCTTGGGTGTGGCCACTGGCGCTGTGCGAAATGGGCTTTCTCTGGGGCACCGGTGTGAATGCAGATACTGCCTGGCCATGCAGGGTGTCCTGCGAAAGGTGGGCCCTGGGGGTGCTTGATTTGCACTTCCTCTAGAGCCTGATTCTCCAGGAGTCTCCCTAAAGATGAGGAAGCTCTCCAGACCCAACCCCCACCCACCCTAATCCTTTTCTGCTGCCCCGACAGACGCTTTGGCACGAAATGCACAGCCTGCCAGCAGGGCATCCCCCCGACCCAGGTGGTCCGTAAGGCCCAGGACTTTGTCTACCACCTGCACTGCTTTGCCTGCATCATCTGCAACCGGCAGTTGGCCACGGGGGATGAGTTCTACCTCATGGAGGACGGGCGGCTAGTGTGCAAGGAAGACTATGAGACAGCCAAGCAAAATGGTAAGTAACACAGCCCTGCAGGTTCCCCTCCAGGCCTTTGTCCACTTAGCCTGAAGTGCCTTCTCTAGCAATCCCACCCTTCTCTCCCAGCCCAACCTCCCCAGAGGTCTTCCCAAAGCACCCCAGGTATTAGTGTTAATTCTGACATGCCCAACCCACCAGCAGTTGCTGCTTTATTAAAGCATTAAGGGAGCTGTGGTTCTGAGCCTGTTTCCCATGCAATGTGGTGGGCTTGTCATTTTAGGCAGGAGTGCCTTCCCTGGGGCAGGAGTGTTGAGCATTAGCTGGGAGCTTGGTCCACGGTGACCAGCACCGGCCTATGTCACCCTTCCAAGAACAATTGTGTTTCTCTTGTTTCTTTTGGTGGAACCAGGGATTGAACTCAGGCCCTTGTGCTTGCCAGGGATGCGCTTATTCCACTGAGCCATCTCCCTGGCCCCTGTTTCTCTTGTTTCTGAGCTCCCCTGATACTGTGAGTTTCTCAAGGCCAGTGACTTAGGGGTGTTGACCCCTGGGGTTTCTGATAGCCTCACTTAAGGTGGAGCAAGTGCCTGATCTGTCTGCCAAGTGGGGAAGACCCCTGTTCAGCCTTATCACCGTTCCCCACTCTGCGTCAGGACCTCTGCCTGCACTGCTGTAGGAGCTCCTGGCTAGGCAGAGGCCCAGGGCAGCAAGCCTTTAGTAGCCACACCTGGAAACCTGCCTTAGCTGGAGCCGAGGTGGCTGCTTCTCTTGCTGTCCATGCCATGCTCTTGTGCAGCCAGGGTCTGTCTACAGACCACTGTGCTTCCCTCAGGGAGGCTGAGCTGGCTCTCCCTCCTGCAGCCCCACTCCTAGCTCCTCACTCACACGTGGACCCTTGGGAGGATGTTCTGAATTTGGGATCTGGCCAAACCAAAGCTAAAAATGTCAGAATCATGAACTCATAGAATATCAAGATCATTTTACTAGAATTTTTATCAACTCGGTATTACTATGGAAAGCAGCTATTGCTGAAAGTTGTGAACTTGAAAGGAAGTAAGGAAAGAAAGAAAGAAAAAAGGAAAGAAAAAAGAAAGGGAGGGGCTGGGGAGATGGTTTAGTGGAATAAACGCTTCCCTGGTAAGCAGCAAGGGCCTGAGTTCAATCCCCGGTTCCACCAAAAAAAAAAAAAAAAAAAGGAAGAAAAGAAAAAAGAATGGAAGAAAGGGCACCAACAATTTTATGTATCTTCTTCCAGATCCTTCCTGGGCTCACACACTATATATCCAGACAATTTCATGAGAAATTAGTTTTTTTTTTGCTTAATAGATGCACCACTAAGTAGAAGTCTGTGGTAAAGAGGCAGAGGAAATTGTAGGAGTTCTTTTGATGATTTTATTGGGCTGAGCTTGGCCTTGCCAGGGGGCAGGAAGGGGCAGGGAAGCCCATGGCAGGGGCTTCTTCACTCTTAGGGGACCTCCTGTCCCACCATCTCCTTAGCTCTATCCTTTCCAGGTAGAAGGACCCAATCTCCTTCCTCCAGAGACCTGCAGCCTCTGCAGACCCATCCCAGTGTTCTTTGCCTCCATGCACTTGTCCACTCTGGCCCCTGGTTAGCTCCATGCTATTGCCCTGGAATCTACTAGGATGTCACAGAGAGCTGGGTGGCTCATTAGGGATAAGCTAACAGGGCAGATGGACTCAGTGATAAGTTACCTTTGGAACTCTGTCGCTCTTCACCAGAGAGAGCCCAGGCACTGCCTCTCCTGGGGCCATGCTGGTTCTCATTATCAGAGACCCCAGTCTCAATATCATCTTATGTTGTAGGTGAGTCCAGACAAGGGACACCTGGACCGAGACTGGTCATAATCCAGATGGGGTGGCAAGAATCACACTGTGGGGTTCGTAATTTTCTGAAATGTACTCACCCAACAGCTGACTTCTGTAGGATAATGGAAGACACTAAATAATGGAATCTGGCTGACACTCACACAAACTTGGAGCTCCGTGGGGCAGTCTGGGTGACTGGCTAAGTCCAAGCTCCTTGGATAAGTATGGGGGATCACGGCACTGGGCACACAGGACTTTTCCTGAGGTTTAAGTGGGATGCGGCTTGTGAATGGATGTTAAATGAGAGTGAGACCCACGTGGAAGAGACTCGCAGACCGGGAGGTGATGTGCCCTACAGCAGCTCATGACACCTCTGACGGTGTCCCCGGGCTTCACCTGCTATGGGCAGACTGACCCTTGGGGCAGCAGGGGAGATTTCATGTGTGCAGGATGATTGACTGTCTTTTAACTTGGCTTCCTTTCTCTTTGCTACCCTAAATCTTCTTTCAGGCTTATAATTCCCTCCCTTGAGCTCAACAAAGGACCTAATATAAGCTATATGCCCCTTAATGTGAACAATTTTGTTCATTTGTTCTCTCTCCTTGGCTACCTGCATTTTCAGTATAAAGAGGTTGGATTTGTATGCCAGGGACAAGTTCTGGGAGATTTTGCATAATTCAGAACTAACACATGTTAAGACTGATTTTCCCACAGGAATTAATGTAAGAAAGTAGAGGGGGATGTAGCCTGCTAGCACACCAATCCATAACCGGTGAAGTGCATCTTGGCCTTAATGCTGCTTTTTATTTTCTCAGCATTATCTCTGTACCTTGCTGAATGCTCTTTCCTAAATTAACAGTCCAGGGTACCATGGTCTTGCTTGGCCTTCCTTATAGTGTTTTATCACATTTAACTTCCGCACCAAAGTTATTGATTTTTGGGTACATTTTTCAGCACAAGCACTGCTACCACTACTTAATGAATACTTGGATGACATTGTTATAGGATATAAAAAAGATCTTAAATTATAATAACAGTGAATGTTAAAATAACAGCATAATAGTCTCCATAATCACAAGAAGAAAAGTCTTGTACACATGAGCAGTGGTGAGGCACCTAAGGACCACGACCTAGAGTGACAGGTACTAAGTCCCCAAGGGCATTGTCATCTGGCTGTAGATAATTTCTAATGCGTTGGGTCAGCCTGCTTTGAAATTAAATGATTCTCTATCAATTAAAACTTTTTTGAGGTAAGGTCTTGCTGAATGGCCCAAGTTGGTCCCAAATTCCTGGGCTCAACTGATCCTTCTGACTCATTCTCCTGAACAGCTGGGGCTGCAGGTGTGCAGTATTATTACCCGTGGCTCACAGTTGTTTTATTTTTTTATTTTTGGTGGAACCAGGGATTGAACTCAGGCCCTTGAGCTTGCCAGGGAAGTGCTTATTCCACTGAGCCATCTCCCCGGCCCCTTCACAGTTTTGATAGTTTTTTTTTTTTTTCCCCTATACTGGGGAGTGAACCCAAGGCCTTGCACAAAGCTACATCCCTAGTCCATTTTTCTCTTGCTTTCTTTTCTTTTTCCTTTTCTTCTGTGTCTCTTTGTTTGTCTCCATCTGTCTCTGTCTCTGTCTTTCTCTCATTTTGATACAGGGCCGTGGTAAGTTTCTAAGTTGCTCAGTCTGGGCTCAAACTTGTGATCCTCCTGCCTCATCCTCTCAGAGTGCTGGGATCATAGGCATGTACAGCTATGCCCTCCATGATACTTCTGTTAACATTTTATACATAAAGACTGTATATATATTAAAACGATATCATTTCATGTTGCATAATTCAAATGTGGATCAGACAATGTCATGCTGTAAACTCTACAAATATGAGCAGAAGGGCCTGACTCCTAACAGAATCTAAAGCATCTTAGAGGTCTTTGTGCTTTGCATTGCTGTCTAAGCCATTGCCGAAAGGTTCTGGATGCCCCCTACCCAGGGGACTCTAGGGAGGGGTGGGTTGTGAACAGTCTGAGATGATAGTAGCTCTGCTAGAGAAGAAAACAGTGCAAGAAGAGGGGCCACAAGGCCTCTGCCCTGTGCCATGTACATGAGGGTAGTGTCTCCAAGCACACAACTGTGCAGTTCCTAGAACGTGCTGCTCCTGCAAGGCAGGAAGTATGCCCCCAGCCTTCAGAGGAGTGTGGCTCCAGCACTCACTCGTCAAGCAGGTGGAAGCCAGGTCTTCTGCCTCCAAGAATTGTGAGAACTAAATGCATGTGACACTTGCAGCTCACTCAGGGATACAGTAATGCGCTTATGTCACTTTGGCCAGCTGACCTTTACAGCCTGGGAAGGACTCATGAGGGTGTCCAAGTAGTGTGTGCCACGGCAGGACATGAGTGTAACTGTTCATGTTCAGGCTGATGAAAGGCTTCCCGGAGGCTGGGCTGTCCCTGAAGACAGAGGACAGTGGGCTTCTGTTGAAAACTAAACTATAGAAGTGGAGTCCCCATAGGGTGGGGACTGTTCCTTCCCTGCCCTGTCCAGAGCAGATGCACTCAGCTGGGGGAAGGGAGAAGGGTGGACAGAGACCTGGCTGTTCCAGATAGGCTGATCCCAGGAAGCTGGTTTTCACTGCAGATGACTCTGAGGCAGGAGCAAAGCGGCCGCGGACCACCATCACTGCGAAGCAGCTGGAGACGTTGAAGAACGCCTACAAGAACTCTCCCAAGCCTGCCCGGCATGTAAGGGAGCAGCTCTCCTCTGAGACAGGCCTGGACATGAGGGTTGTACAGGTGAGATGTTCTCTAGGGAGCTGGGCCTCTAGAAGGAAGGGATGATATCAGAGCTAGGACCCTATGTCTACCTGAGGGAGGTTTGGGGGCCATGAGTGACAGTCACCTGGTGAATGGCATCACTGATCCCCCAGAGCATTTGCAGAGTTCTGAGACTCTGCCCAGGTGTAGGGCGTCCTGCACTCCCCTGAGACCCCAATCCCTTCCCAGCCACCTGCCTTGGGAGTCCTGGAGGTTTCTGGCTTGTGGTAGACGCCCCTTGAGTGTGACCCTTATGCTTTGTGACAGGTTTGGTTTCAGAACAGAAGGGCCAAGGAGAAACGCTTGAAGAAGGATGCGGGGCGGCATCGCTGGGGGCAGTTCTATAAAAGTGTCAAGAGGAGCCGTGGAGGCAGCAAGCAGGAGAAGGAGAGCTCGGCAGAGGACTGTGGGGTTAGTGACAGTGAGCTGAGCTTCCGAGGTGAGCTGGGCTGGAGGGGTGAGGCCGAGTCTCAAGGCAAGTCCCCTGGGGCACAGTAATCCCTGGCAGGCAGGAGGTATCTTTCTTGAGGCCTTGTCAACTCCTGGATGAGCAGAGGTGTTTCCCCAAGACTTGCAGCACTGTGTGTGGGGGATGGGGGTGGGAGGTGATAGTGGCCCTTTGTGGTGGGACCTGGAGTAGAAAATGAGAGTTGCCGTTGCTTAGATATAAAAGCTGGGTTTCCTGGGACATGGCTGTCCCATGGTCCTGAGGCTTCCCTTTTTTTTTTTTTTGCCAACAGAGCCCATGCAACCCATGCAGCTGTGAATGCAGGGCTTTTTCCCAATCCCGTGCCTGCACCTCTCCCCTCTGTAGGGATGTTGGCCTCCTCCCATGATGCCCTAGAATGACCTGTTGGTTCCCATGTCCTGGGAAAACAATACTGTGAGTGCATGTGAGATGGAGAACTTGCTGTTTCTGAGATCCCTTAGCCCACCACTCACTCCATCCTATCCCCTGCACACAGCTTTGCAGCATGCGCTATATTGAAATTTGTGCATCAGCAGCACTGCAAATTACTAAATCTTATGGATCCTCAGATTGCAAATAACCATAACTGGTCGCAGTTACTGAGTCCTCAAATATGGAAGGTATTCTGCTGGGGGTGGGGGGGAGGATCAGAAACCTGGCTTCCAGTATGGCTCTGTAAATTATCTTGTGAGCCTCATTCTCCCTCCTATAACTGGAGATACCACCTCCTTGAGCATCTCACAGCTGTCACAGGATCAGTGAATACAGCCAGCTGTGGATGTGCTTAGCAAATCTAAGCACATTTGTACCCCTGGAAGGCCATGGCTTGTGGCTCCCACAGAGGGCCTTCATTACAGTGCAGCTGAGCCTCGCCTTCCTGTTTCCCTTCAAGGGCATGAGTTCCCCACTGTCTTATTTTCATGAGTGGAATGGGGACTTAAAAGCATGGGTGTTGATATAGGATTGGAGGATTTCTATAGGAATCGATTTACAGGCCATGGCAGAAACCAAAAAAACAGCCCAGGGACAGAGGCTGGAATAAGCTGCCTACCAGGAGGAGTAGGCTGAGCTCAGTCCAGCGATCTGTGCATCCCAAAGATCAGCTTCCTCACGACACAGGGTTTGGGGCCCCAAGGAGGGTCCAAGAGCATTATGTTCACTTTCTGGGCCTCTTCTCAGGATTGAGAAAGACTGAGAGATTTAATCTCACTGTAGCTGTCTAAATCCATACCTGGAATAGCTAGAATTGTGAAATCTTATTTTGTAGCCCATTTCTTTTGGGTGCAAGTGGGTCCCACATTCACATATCATTGTTATTCTAAACAATAAACAACCCTTTAAGACTAAAACTACTCCACTCTGTTGGAGAGCTGAATTCTTTCATTTGGCAGAGAGCTCATTAGTTCCCCTTAATGAAATTCTCCAAGAAACAAGAGAGGGTTTATTCTCTTTAATCAAATTATTCTTTTTCCTGTATGAAGAGCTTACTAGAGAAGCAAAACCCTTTCATATTGAACCTGTTTTCCAGGTAGAACAGAAAAATTCTGTACACATGTCTAAGAGTGGTCCTCAGCTGCCCTCACTAGATGGGCTACCTCATTCCCAACCAAGCCCACTTAGCCTGAAAGCTTTCAGAATAAATCTTGCCAGCAAGTAGTTTCCATTTGTGATGTGGATAACACAGCCCAAATAGTCTTGGGGATTCATACTCCTCAATATAGCCTGAGTGTCTTAGTACATGAACCACACAAGAGCACAAAGCTCACCAAACATTTTTCTACCTTTCTGGGACCTGGAAATTTAGTCTTGAGCAGGTGTTCTTTTGTTTTTTTGCCTTGACCCAGGTTGGTCTCTGGGTATGACTGACATATTGGTGGCCAACCTGTGATTGGCAGGAAGGCAGCTGATGCTTTTGGGCATCTTTCTTGGTCATGTGTATTCCTAGGTTGTGAAGAGCAAGGACCACTAGAGTCCTGGGAGCTGACAATAAATCTCCATTCTTTTGTCCACAGAGGATCAAATTCTCTCAGAACTTGGCCACACCAATAGGATTTATGGCAACGTGGGGGATGTTACAGGCGGACAGTTAATGAATGGGAGCTTCTCCATGGACGGGACAGGACAATCCTATCAGGACTTGAGGGATGGGAGCCCCTACGGAATCCCCCAGTCTCCATCCTCTATATCATCCCTGCCATCCCACGCTCCTTTGCTGAATGGGCTGGATTACACAGTGGACAGTAATTTGGGCATCATTGCACATGCAGGGCAGGGAGTGAACCAGACACTGAGAGCCATGGCTGGGGGACCCACCTCTGACATCTCCACAGGAAGCAGTGTAGGCTATCCCGACTTTCCAACTAGCCCAGCCTCCTGGCTCGATGAAATGGATCATCCTCCTTTTTAAACTTCTCTCCTCCCCATCCTACCTGTCCTGGCTTGAGAGAATATCTTCAAGGATCAAAAGAGACTTGGCTCTTAAGGATCAAAGGTGCACCAATGTGAATTTCCATTATTTTCAATGGAAGTCCTCTGCTGATTTCTAGAAGCTATGAAACCACGTTAGGGCACTGCTTTCTTGGGAGGCAGTGGGAGAGCAGCCTCATCTCACACATAGCACAGGGGTGGACCGCCTAGAGCTCCAGGGATGCTGACTTGTGGCTCTTCCCCTCCCAGCCTGCTTAGAGGCTTCGGCTGCTTAGTGCTTTGTTGATATGAGGTGACTGTCACAGGCCAGCGTGGCCCTGGGATCTCTGCTCCAACAGCTGTGTCTCACACAATGCCTCCCCAACCACTGCCCTCACCACAACCAAGATTCCTGAGGTAGAGGCACCACATCCCCTGACTATAAGGAGTGATCTCTGGACCACCTTGATTAAACCCTGATTTTCAAAATTAATGTCAAGTTATTAAAGGTTGGTGACAATGTTGATGGCCACAGTTTGATAGTAAAAGCAGGCCCCCTCCCTTTTTGTTTGTTGCTGTGAAAAATAGGACTTCTTTCTTACTCAGATGTACAAACTAGAGAATATTTATCAGTTTTGGTTTTTAAGAAATCCCATCTGTATCACTGAATCCTTGATAGCAAGAAGTGGTTTTCATTGCACGTGACTCTGGAGGCTGGTACTGAGGCCCTGGACCTTCACAGACTGGTCACTGAGTCCCTTTGGTGCACAGTGTGCCTTTAGATTGACTTGTATCATTTATTCTCCCAGATAGGATGTGGGCTGCAAAGTGATCAGAGCAAGACCATGGAGAGAGCAGATTGACAATCAGTGAAAAAGGCTGCAGATACAGTTGGGTTCTGAGCGTGCAGTCTGTTTAGCCTCCTTGGCAGATGCCAGTCCTGGAGATCCCCATCCTTTGGGGGTAAAATGAGACTGGAGGGTCTGCTTTGAGGGAGCTGGGTTAGGTGAGCTTTGCAGACTATTCCTCCTCCTCTTAAAAGTGAAAATGTCCTCTGCTGCACAAGTTGACTCAGTTGGCGGACAATCTTGGTCGCTTCCAGGAACCAGCAATGTTTTTTGGCTGAGTTTGGTTGGGAGGAATAATTTAGGGAGCAGCCTTAACATCATCAAAAGGGTTTCAAGTGGTTCTTGGGCTGCATCTCTGTGGGTTGTTGGCTGGACTTGTGCCATGCCTTGGGCTCCAGGCTGCACTCAAAAAGCCAGAGTTCTCTGGCACTCCACTGGGAGTGCAGCGTCTCCCTCCGAGTCACTCAGCCTGCAAAGCAAGGCCTGTCTCTGCTTTATGAGCCGCCACTCTGTGACAGGCTGCACTTCTGTGCTGTCAGGATGCTCTCTTGAGAATTCCAAATCTCCAGTGTGCAGCTAGAAATGTGGCCAGCTGGAATTTATTCCCACCCTTTGGAAGCATGGTTTGCTTCTTCTAGCCCTATTATCCTTTAAGATCAGAGGCGTAGGAAAGGGCAGGGATTTGCCCCTTTTTCATATGAGACCAACAGCCCTAGAGACCCTTCCTTCTGTGAATGGTGGATCATATTTTGAGAACTGCAGGGATTCAGGAGTGTGACAGGCAAACTAAAGGAAGCAATGCTACAAATGTTGCATCCTTTGTAAGCTCTGGTTCAACACTATACTTAGTTCACTTAAGCTTCTTTAAAGGATACAGTCAGTAAATTCCTGGATCAGCCGTCAGGCTGCCTTTTCTCTGATCAGGTTTGTACTGTACCTTTGCTTTTGGGTGGGCTGCAACTGCCCTCATCTTCACTTGCAGTCTGAAAACACAGACTTTTTTGAGGTTCCATATTCACAGATGGTGATGTGTTAGGTCTGTTCAGTTCTGTACTACTGAAATTCCCTCACAGGGTGAATGCTCTTTGGGGATGGAGACACAAATACTAGACAACAAGCTATGGGAAGGGAAGGAAATTGCAGCTGTCTGGAGGCTAGCTTATTCAACACACCATTCTCAGCAGGCTGCTCATAATACACAGTGAAAACCTGGACAATCCAGTGGAAAAGTTGTGTCAGCTAGGTGACTGTCACCTTGACTATTTGGCTTAGTATCACATAGAATCAGAGGCACTTCATATTTTTGGCGATTGTGTAGAACTGTTGAAGATCAATTTAAACTGACCAATTTTTGTATTTGGAAATGAGTTGATCATATTCTTAATTCAATGATGGAAGAATGGGAGGCTGTCCTCATTCATACTAATAAAATAAGTCTTCTGAGGAACTCAGTTGGCCGCACAGTGAAATTAGCAGTAGTGTTTGGTTTCATTTGGGCTGGCTACCTGGAAAAGATCTTGAGAGACTACTGACCAGAAGGCCAGGAGAGCGTTAAATCCCTTCCCCAGAGCCACTTCCCTGGAGAAGCAAGCGCTGCGCCCAATCAGAAGCACAGTGATGGCAGGTCTTAGATCTGAAGTGATCTTCCTGCAAGTTGGGCTTGCACGATAGGTGGCTGTGCCACGGGTGAGCACTGCACATCATGACTGTCCCTGGCTCTTCTGAGGTTTGGAGATGGGGAGGAACAGAAGATTTCCTTTAGATTCTCTTAGAGATGCTTCTCTACTGCCTAGTAGTCGATATTATTGGGGTAGCAGGTACTACCCAGTAGTTGTTATTCCCTTACTAAATGACATGAATAAATTTAAAACATTGAAATGAGACCTATTAGAGGCATTTACAACATTTGGGCCTACCTTTGACTCCAAGAGACCAGCTAACAGCTACTATCTGCAGTGCCTACATAGTAGGTTTGAGGAGGAAGCTTCTGAATACTGGAGCAAATTAACATCTCTGGCACCTCCCACCCTGCATTTCCAGTGGTAATTCATGCAAGCAAAAAGGAGAAATGATGGGATCAGTGGCAAACTCTGTATTTGTCTAAAAGTAATAAAACCATGGTGTGTGTGGGGAATACCATATAAGGACTAATCAGCCCAATGGCTAAATTGTGTTGTTGGCAAGTGTTTTTTGTTGCCCCTTCAAGAATTTGTTGTGCACCCTTAGGGCCAGTTCCTTTCAGTTTTTGTGCTTCTTCTTTCATCCCTCATCTGTTACGGACAAGTATAAGATGAATATCAACTACTATACTGGTAATATTGGTCCTGCAAGTTAATATAGTGAAACAATGGGAAAATTACAACCTAAGAAAAGCATTTGGCAGAGTCCTTAAAGTTTTTTGTGCCATTTTAAAACAAAATCTAGTGATATAATTGGAAGCTATTAGATCTTCATACTTAAACTGATTTTTCTATAAAAAAATTACTAGAAGCTGGGCATATTATAATACCAGCTACTCATGAGGCAAAGGCAGGAGGATCTCAAGTTTGAGACCAGCCTGGGCAATTTAGCAAGACCCTATCTTGAAATAAAAAGGTAAAAGGGAGCTGGGGATTTAGCTTAGCAGTACAGTACTTGTACAAAGGATGTACAAGCCCCTGGGTTGAGTCCTCAGTACTGAAAACAAAAACAAAAGAACCTAAGAACTGCCTTCTTTCAGGAGGGGTTCAAGGCTTCTGGTTAGCACACACTTTTGTGACAGTCCACCAGTATACTTAACCTCCACATAGCTCCTCCCATATGCCGCAGCTGACACCTGGGTTATAATCATGGAACTAGTGACCACACCTCCTCAGCCTGCAGGGCCTGGAAGGCCTGAGGATGCTCATCTTGAAACATTGCACTTTAAAAATTGGAAACTGTGAGATGAAGAAAAATTCAATTAAGCGGAAATGAGTTTTGTTTTATTGCCTGCTGCTGACGGGCTCTGGGCATGCTGAAAGCTAAATAAAAGCACATCACTGGCTCTCTCTTTCTTGGATTGGTCAATTGGCCCTTTTTGCAGTAGTTGCTCCAACTGCGCTAACAGTTTTGGAGCCAAAAAGAGAGAGCTCAGCAGTCATCCCATCCACACTCTGCTTGGTAGGACCACACTAAAAGCACAGTTTCATGCTGCTCGCTCTGGGGAGGAGACAGCTGCAGGTCTGGGAGGTGCACCAAGCATTTCTTTGCTTTGAGGCAGAGCACAGGTGGACAAAGCAAGGACATCCACTCTCACCTGCTGCCCACCTAGAGACAAGGACCACACTGTACTTTTGCGCTTGAGGACTGTGTTCAGACTAACGAGCAGGTTTAGGGCTGGAGGACCCCGGAAGCTGCTCTGAATTTGCATTCAGACCTCAAGGTCCCAGATCCCTTCTGCTCTGGATTGTTGCCCTCATTCTTCCCTGTGTAAATTTTGTACAGTTAAAAATAAATAAAAGTCCTGTGTCCTGGAAAAAAAAAAAAAGAAAAATACCAACAAAAGGACTCACTGCTATTTATTGCCATGTGACTTCGGAGAGCAGGAGCTGGTGCGTTTGTATATGCCTCCTGTATGTTGGCATGAGATGTGTATGGTAAAACTGTGTAAAATAAATATGGAAATTCTTTAGAAGCTGATGTGTCTGGCTTTTCATTTGGTTTTCTGTACATTTTCTCTCTTGACACAGAATAGAAAGCTGAGTGGACAGTGGGATACTTTTATCACCAGAAGCAAACCAAAATATAATTCTGAATGCCAGAACTACTTAAAGCCATGAAATATCAGAATTATTTAATGAAGGATTGAGTGGAGGTGGCTCGGGTTTTGCTAATAGCAATTTAATGAGGGCACAATCACTTGCCCTTAGATTTAAGAGAACCGGCAGAAAAATAATCTGTTGACAGTGTACTTTTTACTGTTTGTTCTGTCACATTCAAATTCACAACTGTAACATTTTCCTTAAAGATGTGAAAATAACTATTTGGGTAAGGAGGGCAAGAAAGTAGAAATATCTCATCTGGACTCTTGGGCAAGCCTTTTCTAGAAACATTTCAATATAGGTTTTTTCCTCTGCAGAAGATATGTTAGTGTGTATAAAGGTCCTGAAATTTAGCTGGCGTGAAAGAACACTGTTTTGGGGTCCTAGGGACTGAACCCATAGCGCCAGCCCTTAAAATTACTGAAAACAAACAAAAACAAAAACTACAAAGCCACAGGATTTCTGATTTAGAACTGGGATTTCATTGTAGAAATATCAGAGCACACTTTTCCTGTAAGTGATTACCACTGTGTGGCTGAAGATCCAAACACAGCCCCACTGTCCACCATAACAGCTACAAGGCTCATGTGTCTATTTACACTTTTTTTTTTAAAATTTTTATTCATTATTTATTTATTTTTTTTGTGTGTGTGGCCAGTTCAGCCCACCAGGGGGCGGGGCTGGCTGGCATGTGGTGCTGGGGATTGAACCGTGGTCCCTGTGCTTTTGCTTAGCTTGTTCTAAGTAGATGCTTTAGACCACTGAGCCATCTCACCAGCCCTCTATTTACACTTAAAATGACTAATATGAACTAAAATGAAAATTTCAGTAACACTCTCGCCATACTTTAAGTGCTCAACAGCTATTTCTGATGAGTGGTTATGGTATTTGGACAATACAGATAGTAAACAT